CGAAGGACCCAACCAAATGCAGTTGTGGGTACCGCAATTGTGAACATTTTCTTCGGTGAAACTCCCTATGGGGCCACGAAGCGCTGCACTGGGTGGGGGGGAACGCTGTTCTGGGTGAGTGGTGTGTCAAGTAAGGTTTCCGGGACGCATGCGGACGGTCCCACTGGGGGCTGCGGTGGAGCTCCCTATGGGGTCACGAAGCGCTGTACTGGGTGGGCGAAAATGCCAAATTGGGCTTCCGAGACGCATGCGGACGGTCCCACTGGGGGCTTCGGTGGAGCTCACTAAGGGGCCACGGAACGCTGCATTGGGTGGGTAAAAATGCCACGTTAGGTTTTCGGGACGCATGCGGACGGTGGCACTGGGGCCTTCGGTGGAATTCCCTACGGGGCCACGAAATTCTGGAATGGGTGGGTGAAAATGCCACAATGGGTGTTTCGGGACGCTTGCGGACGGTCCCACTGGGGCCTTCGGTGGAGCTCCCTGTGGGGCCACGAAGAGCTGCACTGGGTGGGTGAAAATGCCACATTGGGTGTGCGGGACGCATGCGGACTGTGGCACTGGGGCCTTCGGTGGAGCTCCCTGTGGGGCCACGAAACGCTGTAATGGGTAGGTGAAAATGCCAAATTGGGTGTTTCAGGACGCACTCGGACGGTCCCACTGGGGGCTTCTGTGTAGCTCCCCGTGGGGCCACGAAACGCTGTATTGAGTGGGGGCGCGCATGTGGACGGAAGCACTGTGACCTTCGGTGGGGCTCGCTATGGGGCCACGACACGCTGTACTGAGTGGAGGGGACGCATGTGGACGGTGGCACTGGGGCCTTCGGTGGAGCTCCCTATGGGGCCACGAAACGCTGTACTGAGTGGGGGGGACGCGTGTGGACGGTGGCACTGGGGCCTTCGGTGGAGCTCCCTACGGGGCCACGAAACGCTGTACTGAGTAGGGGGGACGCATGTGGACGGTGGCACTGAGGCCTTCGGTGGAGCTCCCTACGGGGCCACGAAGCGCTGCACTGAGTGGGGGGGACGCATGTGGACGGTGGCACTGGGGCTTTCGGTGGAGCTCCCTATGGGGCCACGGAACGCTGTACTGAGTGGGGGGGACGCATGTGGACGGTAGCACTGGGGCCTTCGGTGGAGCTCCCTTTGGAGCTACGAAGCGCTGTACTGGGTGGGTGAAACGCAGGGAAGAGGGGGAGGGGGGAGGAGGGGAGGAGGGAGGAAGAGGAGAGGAGGAGGAGAAGAGGAGGAAGGCGGGGACCGTCTCTTCAAAACGAGGACCCAACACCACAGCAGGTTGGTTGGGACAAAAACACACCCAAAGCACAAAACACAAACCACAAAACACACACACACACACACACACACACACACACACACACACACCAACACACTTTTGCGTCGGCGGCTAGGCAAAGTTGCTGCGCTGGCGATTGAAGCGCCAGGGGGGCACACAAGACGCACATTGGGCCACCGTGCACGCGGGAGGGAGGGCGGAGCCGGGCGCGGGTAGGGGGAGAGAAGGAAGCCAGGCCCGCTCAGAGCAGGGCCAGGCGGCGGCGGGGGGGCGCCTGTGGACAGGGGGCAGCCGCAGCGGGGGTAGCAGCCGGGGGGAGGGCAGGCGGCCGCCGGGGGCAGGCGCCAGGGGGGCAGCGGCCAGCGCGAGCGGACCCAAGGGGGCAGGCAGCGGCGCCGCCAGGGGTGGCGAAAGCATGGGCGACCTGCGCGGCGCCCAAGGGTGGCGGCAAGTGCGGGGCCGTCGCCAAAGACGGCGAGGAGGGGGGCGAGGAGGAGGAGGAGGAGGAGGAGGAGGAGGAGGAGGAGGAGGAGGAGGAGGAGGAGGAGGAGAGTAGGAGGAGGAGGAGGAGGAGGAGGAGGAGGAGGAGGAGGAGGAGGAGCGGAGCACAGGGCGAAAGGCAGTGGCAGGGGGCCCGGATGCCGAGGTCGCGGCGGTTCTGCGAGGCATACCGAGCACGGCCGAGACAGGGCCACCCAGAGGGCGGGGCGAAGGGAAAGAAGGACACCGACGGCGAGGCAGCCGGAGGCGCCGAGGTGCAAAGGGGCGAGGGCACAGAGGCCACACCCGGGAGGGCGGAGGGCGGGAGGCGGGGAGAGCCGAGGCCGCGGCAGACCCGCGAGGCAACGCGGGGCGAAGGCGGTGGAGAGGGGGGGGGAGCGCGGGGTGCCAAGGTCGCGCCCGACCTGCGAGGCACCGCGGGCACGGCCGAGCGCGGCCGCCCCGAGGGCGGAGCGAAGGACAGAGGGCCTCGCCAAGGGCCGCCCCCAGGGGGAAGGACGGGAAAGGGGCCCCAGGCCGAGGGCGGCACGCCCGCGGGCCGGCAGCGACGGCGCCGAGAGGCCGCACGTGGCCTCTCCGAGGCCCCCGGGGGGCGGGGCAGCCCCACCGCGAGGGCGGAGACGGGAGGGGCAGCGAGGCGCGGCTGGCACGCGACGGCACGACCCAACAGGGGGGGGGGGCTGGCCCGCGTGGCGGGTGGGACGTGGGTCGGGTGTAGCCAGGACTCCGGGTAAGGGGACCCGGTTAGTGGTGGGGCCCTGGGGCCCCTCAATCAGAGCGTGAATTACCTACCCCGCTTTCGCTTCCAGTCAAAACCAAGTCATACCAAGCGCCTCCTCGTCAAGCGGCCTGACCAGTACAGGCCGTAGTTTGGCATCGCTTGGTATCTCTTGGAAGCGAAGGTGGTCAAAAGCGAGGTAGGTTTGTTTGTCCCTTACTCAAGTGGCCAGATTCACTAAACCAGGTTTGCCGTAACTGGCGGTTTTCGGGTGACGGCAGTTCCGGCTAGTGGAAATGGGGCGGAGGGGCGCCCCCGGTACAAAACATTAAACCAGGTTCCACGATATCCAGTTCTGCCAACGCCCGAGTGGGGGCCAGGGGGTGCCGAGGCCGCGGATGGCCTGCTGACACCGGAGACACCCCGGGCGGAGCCCACGCAGACGAGAGGGCTGGCTTGAAAATCAGGCAGAGCGGCGGTGCGGAGCAGAACCAGCGCTAGGGGGAGGCGGAGATGCCGCCAGGGGAGGAGGCGGCACACACACACACACACCACACACACACATACTCACGCACACACACACACACACTCACGCACGCGTACACACACACACACATAGACACACACACACACGCACACACAGACGCATTCACACATTTCACGCACTCACACATCGACACACACTCACACACACACACATTCACACACCCACACACACTCTCACACACACACACACACGCACACACACAACACAAACACAACTACACACAAAACACAAAGCACAAAACACACACACACACAAACACACAACACACACACACAACACATACAACACACAACCAACAACACACAACATACGCACGTACACACAACACACAGACACACGCACACTCACACACACACACACACACGACACGAAACACACACACACACACACGTGCACACATAATACACAACGTACACACAAAACACACGCGCATCACACACACACACACAACGCACACACAAACAGACGCATTCACACACTCACACACAAGCACACAAGCACACACACAAACACACAAACACACGCAAACACAACACAGGACACGAAACACAATTCACGCACGCAAGCACACACACACACACACACACACACACACGCGCGCGCGCAACACACATACACACACACACACACGCACACACACAACAAATAAACGCACAAAAACACACACGTCACACAACACACACACAACACACACAACACACATCACACACAGCACATATCACACACACAGCTCACACACAAACACAACACACCGTACACACACGCACAATCACACACAGCACACACACACACAAAACACACAACACACGCACACAAAACACGCACACACGCGCAAAGACACATGCATACACACAGGCACACACATAACACACAAACACACACGCGCACACAACACATACACGCACACATAACACACACATGAAAAAAGCACGCACACAAAACACACACACACACACACAAAGCAAATGCACACGCACTGAACACATACAACACACAAATACACACACACATATGTGGCCCCAAGAGATGGAAACGTTGTTGGTTTCAAGGTTTCCGAAAGCGCTCGCATGTTTCGAACCAGAACTAATGGGATAACTTTCTGCAAACCAAGGGCCGCCGCGCGCCGTTTGATGGTTCAAACGTCCAGGCGCCGACAAGGAGACACACGAAGTGCGCGTTCTTCAGATTCCCGCATCCGGGATTTGTTTTCGAGCCGTGGTTCCAGAAAGAAAAAAGTCCCCCGACCGAAAGCTGGTCTCCGGAGAGGGTATGTTCCCGAGCGCGTTCTGGCAAGACTCTCGAGGCGAATGTGGCCGTGTCGACGAGACCTCCCCAGGAGGTGCACCAACGTAGACAAATAGCCAGCAAAGCCTACCACCCGTTTCCTCCTCCATATTGAGGGTGGGGAGGACACGCCTTCTCGCTATCGCCCTCGCGCTCCGCCTCGGACTCGCATACATGTCCTTCCCGCCACGTCATGCCTTCACTTTCACATCCTCCTCCGTCTCGCACCGAGGCTGTATCCTCCACCTCGCCGTCCTTCTCGTCCTCCCCCTCGCCCTCCTGATCCTCCTCTCCCTCCTCCCCCGCCTCCTCACGAGGTACCCCTTGTCCACTTCAGGAGGTCACCCTTCCCTTCGGAAGGTCCTTCTCGTCCCCCTCCACCTCCTCCTAGTCCTCCTCCTCCTCCCCGTCGCCCCGCGCAGTAGTCGGTGCTCGCCTCCCGGCCACGCTCCGCCTTTTTCTTCCCCCTCCCACTCCCTCCACCACCTCCCCCCCCCCCCTCCCTCGCCCTCCCTCCCTCCCTCCCTCCCTCCCCCCCCCCCTTCTCCCTCCCTCCCTCCCTCCCTCCCTCCGCCCCACCTCCCCCCTCCTCCCCCCCTCCCTCGCCCTCCCTCCCTCCCTCCCTCCCCCCCCCCTTCCCTCGCCGCCGCAGAGGACACGCCGCAGCCCGACGTCTTCCCCGACGTCCGGACGGGGGGGGGGGAGAGGGGCGGCTGGGGCCAGGGGGAGGGGGCGTGCTGGGCCAGCTGCGCTGCACCACCCACCAAACGACCCCAACCCAAACCCGAAGGCTTCAGTGTTCCCCCCATTTCCAGTGCGGGGGGGGGGGTCAGGGAACATTGAAAAAACGCATGGGACCCGTACCCCCCAACCCGAAATTCGAGTCATCTGCCTGCCCGCCCGCCCCGCTTCTGGCCCGTCTTCTGCCTGCCCGCCCGCCCCGCCGGCCCTGGCCTCCCGCCTGGGCGTTCGTCGTCGTCTGCCTGCTTCTCCCCTCCTCGTCCCCTTCCGCCGGACCGCGCAGCCTGCCCGCATGTAGGGTTTCGAGCAGGGATCTGCTGCTGCTGCGGCCGCCAGCTCGCCGGCGAGCCCCACTGTAGCGCTCGCTGGCGCTGCCGATACGCGCCGGGAAGGCTCGCTGAGCCTGGAGGTCCAGGAGAGAGCGACGTCTCACGGGGACCTGAATTCAAGTCAAATTCGGGTCTTCGGGTTGGGTCGGGGTGGTCTGGTAGGCAGTCATCGCTGGAGCTGGCCTGCGATCCCTGGCGACTCCGTGGATCGCGGGCGGATCGTGCTGGGCCCTCTTGGCCGCCCGCCTGCTCTCGTCCGTGCGCGCCGACAGCTCGAAGTGTCCGTGTTGCCCGCCTGCTGTGAGCAGGCACCATTGTGGCCACCGAGGCGCCCCAGGACGATCAAAGCGTCTAGAGAGCGAGCCTCGAGCCTCGAGCCTGAGCCGGTCGGTCTCCCTCTCCGCTCGTTCCTTTTCGGGCCCGCGCAACTTCCCGTGCGAGTGCAGTCGAGGCGCCAGGAGGAGGAGGAGGAGGAGGAGGAGGAGGAGGAGGGGGAGGAGGAGAGAAGCGGGCCCCCCTCCAGGGCTGCCTCCTCCCCTCCTCCTCCTCCTCCTCCTCCTCCTCCTCCTCCTCCTCCTCCTCCTCCTCCTCCTCCTCCTCCTCCTCCTCCTCTGGGGCCCCCCAGACATGAGGCTATGCTACTTTGTTCGGCGGCGCGCCGAGGGGGGCAGGCCTTCTCAGGGGGCGGCGGGCTGCTCAGACAGCCCCGCGGCCTCGTGAGAAGCCGCCCGCGCCTTCGGAGGAGGCTCGTGGAGAGCCTCTCGGACGGCCAGAGGCCGCCTCCCGAGCCTTCTGGGAAGTGTCGGGGGCCACTCTTCGGGCGAAGAGAACTATGCGCATGCACCGATCCTGGCAAGGCCCATCCTTGACCCAGGATCGGTGCATATGCCTTCCTGGCCAAGGCAGGAGGGCGCAGGCACCGATCCTTGGCTCAGGATGGGCCTGGCCAGAATCGGTGCATGTGCATAGTTCTTTTTCCTCTAACTCTGCCCCACCGGCCCCCTCCCCCCTCCATGCACTTACGCGAACCCGTTTCTCCAGGCGCCGATCGAGGATCGGACATCGAGGATCGGACATCGAGGATCGAATATCGAGGATCGAAGACTGGATCGAATCTCAAGGATCGAATATCGACGATCGGACATCGAGGATCTAGGCTTTGCCGTGTTGGGGCCTCCGGAGGCCGCCAGGGAACTCCAGTCGCCTCATTGGGGCAGGGCTGGGGGCATCTATCCGCGCGAGTCGCCCCTCTCCTCCCAAACACCCTCCGCGAGGAACGCAAGGTCTCCCCGCGCCGCGTCGGCGCCCCCAGACCCCCAAACCGCAGCGCTGATGCCGGAGCACTTTTTTTTTTGGTCGGCGGGTCGGGAGCGGGCCCCTTTTAAGAGCTAGGCGGGCCACGCAAAGCTCTAATTGGGGAGACAGGGCGCGGGCGGGCGGGGCCTCAGGCGGCCGGAGGGCGGGCCGGGGTGCAGGCGGTGCCGAGGAGCTTGCACAGGAAAAGGAACGCCTTGGACAGGAGCCCGAGGCGAAGATCCGGAGGGTGAGCGTTGTGGTGTTACCGTCGACGGCGCATCGTAAACACCATCCTCGAGTGCTGCGTGAGGATGAACGCGACCAGGTCGACGTCCAGGAAGAAGAAGTGGGTTGATGCCGAAACACGTGACTTCAAATTTTCCGACGGCGTCTACGCACCGCGCCGCGCGCGCAGTTGAACGTTGAAATTTGGGGGGCGAGGGGGGTCCGCAAGAGTTGCGTCAGGTCTCGCAGAGGGTCGCGGGTACGCGAAGCCTTTTCTCTCCGGGCGCCTCCCCGGGGCAGTGGCCGGGCATCGATCCGCACGTGACTCCAAATTGTCCGACGGCGTCTACGCACCGCGCCGCGCGCGCCACTGAACATTGAAAAATTGGGGGCGAGGGTCGCGGGTACGCAGAGGGTCGCAGGTACGCGAGCCCTTTTTCTCTGGGCGCCTCCCTGGGGCAGTGGCCGGGCGTCGATCCGCGCGGGTCGGCCAAAAGACTCGATGGATCCACAGATCGATCGAGCTTTTTGGGCCATGCCCCGGCGCCCCGCCGCGGCGCGCCCCCCCCCCGTTGGCGCGCCGCGCCGCCGAGGGGGGGGGGGCCGAGGTTCGGACGAGGATCGAGGATCGGGGGCCGAGGCGCTGCAGGGACCGGGGGCGGCGGTGTGCAGGGCGCGGATGGGCGTGCGAGCAGCGGAGGCCCTGGCTTCGAAGGTCGAGGATCGAAGATCTGGGGTCGAGTTTTGTCGGGCCGGGCGAAAGGGGCGAAGGAGTTCCACGCAGATTTCGTGGATCTACGCTGGGCCCCCTGGCGCGCTCCGCGCGCCAGGGACGGGGGCCCAGAGCCGATCTGAGAAGTCCGCGCCGACATCCGAAAGTTATGTTTACGCTGTTGTTCTTCTTCTGCAAGCGCGGGCTGAAGTCGGCATGGTCCGGCATACAGCAGGCCATCGGCAACGACCAAGACGCCCCCCAGGTCTCGGGTCGGGCGAAAGGGGGGGATTGGGAAAGGGGGGGTTGCGAAATTTGCTGCATGCAGTTGGTTTCGGCCTCACCGAGGGGCCCATTCCTCGATACATAGCCGCCTCTGGCGCCGGGAGGCGCCGGGAAAATCAGCTACGTGAGCTGATTCTCAAACCCCCCCTTTGCTATCCCCCCCTTTTGCCCGACCCGATTTTGAGGATCGACGATCGAGGATCGGACATCGAGGATCGGACATCGAAGATGGAAGACGGGATCGAATCTCGAGGATAGGATATCGAGGATCTGCGTGTTGCCGTACTGGAGCTAGCAGAGGCCTCCAGGGACCTCCACGGACCTCTCCAGACCCCCCAAAGAGTAGGAAGTAGGCCGACCCTGCCAAATCAAGGGAACCCTTGTGTCCTGCGTGTTCGCGTCCCGTGTCCGCTGCATTCCTGGGGCAATGGGGTCTTTGGATCAAGTGAGTAATAATCACCTGGACCGGACACTTGGCGTTTACTAAACGGCCCTGGGCGCTTATTAAACAGTCCTGCATTGATTGATTCCTTTTTTGGGCGCGTTTACTAAACGGCTTCGCGTGTCGGGGTGGTAATCATCGGGGTGGATATTCTGCCCTCTGTTCCTGGAGCAAGGGGGTCCTTGGAGCGGTCTCGAGTCCTCTCGCGTGCCCTCTCTCATCAAGCTCGACCTGTAGGTTTGCAGCGCTCGAGCCTCCAGGGACCCCCCTGAGACCCTCCCGAGAGCAGCACCGAGTAACCATCGGTCGCTGGAAGTGGCTGCTATGGCACTCTCAGATCCCAGTCTACTCCGAGTTTCTTTATCAGCGTCGGGGGGGCGCCACCCCCGCCAGCAGCTCCACATCGACCCCCGTCGCGGGCAGCCACTACGCGCCGAGGGCGCTCCGACCCCCTTCGCGGCGCGACGGCGAGGCGAGGTTCACCCCCGTCGGGGGGGTACCCCCCCCACGCTTATCAAGAAACCCAGGGTGCGTGAGGCGCCTTCCCGTTTCAAGGGTCGAGCGGTTGTTCTTTATCTTTCCTCTTGAGGGGGCGGGCGGGATCCCAATACACTGAAGGCCTTGCGGCCGGCGCCGCCGACCCTGAAGGTCGACGACGACGACGGCGGCGGCGGCGACGACGACGGCGACGAAGAAACACATTCAAAGGCTGAAGTGAAATTATTGATTTGACCCTCTTGCGGTTGTCTTGGGAGTGCTCTTGAGGCTCTGTTGGGCTGCTTGCGGGCATGATTCGGGGGAGAGCGGAACCCCAATCTAGTTTGAGCGCGGTTATATTTCACGTGTCGACCCTCTTCTGCTCACCGATGGGCCCTCACAAACCAGAGGAACAGAAGCGGCAGTGGCGCGGTGGGCGCGGTGGCGGGGGCGCCCTTCGGAGCGGCCGAGGACGGTCCGAGCGGATGCGCCTTGGGCATCTCGTCTGAACAGCCACACAGTCGAGACGCTGAAAGAAGTACTCCAGATGTTGTAATAAAAGGGAGGGGGTCTGGACCCTCCAAGACAAGCTATTTCAGACCTCCCCCGTGGGAGAACCCTCCAAAACATTGTCCCCAGACCCCCCCAGGCCCTCCAAGATAGCCTGGAAGAGACCCCCCCCGAAATGAGACCCCCCTCCCTTTATTACGAAATCTGGAGTACCGTTCTGGGCCCAGGAGGCGCTCCAGTCTCCGGGCCGCTCGTACAGGTCTAGGTCGGGGAACCCCTCTTCGCGGGCGAGGCTCGCCGTGGCCGGAGAAGCCATGCGCTTCTTGTCCAGCGCTCTTTTTGTGGCGCACGGCGGCCGCACGCGGCAAGGGCGAGTGGACGGCGCCACGCTGTCGGGGCACGGCAGCGAGGCAGGCTGTCCGGCTGCCGGCGGCGAACCCCGCCACCGTGGCAGCGCAGCGTCGCAATCCACACAGGGGCGGTTGCGCCGAAGCCTCCGAGCACGTTGTGTCGAGTCGATCTTGGGCCGTCTGGGAAGTGGCTCTGCGATGCGTCGCGCATCTGCAAGGCTGCATGATCGGTCGTTGCACTCTGGGAGTGTGTCTGGAGCTGTTCTGGCGGGCGTCTGGCGCTCAATCGTTTTGAAGGCATGTGGCGTTGGATCATGTTGGGCATGCGTGGCGTGGCCGTAACGCTGCATGATCGGCCGTTGCGCTTCGGAGATGTTTGTTGTAGGCCTCTCAGGGTCCTCTGGGGGCCTGTTGGGGTGCCTGTTGGAGGTCTCGGGGCCGTCTCAGGCGCGATGCTTCCCACGAGCTCTCCCAAAGAGGCTCGGTTGATTCACGTTGGGGCCACTTGGGCGGGTAATGTGTCTACCATGGAGCTCTTTTTAGGCGGTCTCGGGCCGTCTGGGAAGTCTCGCCGGTCGTCTCGAGGTCATCTTGGGGCCGTCCCTGGCTGTCTCGCCACCGCCTTGGGGCTTTATGAAGCGTCCCCGATGCAACATTCAGCGGAAAATCTGTCAAAAGCAAGAACAACCCAGGGCGTCAGTCCGTTCAAGTATTTGGGCGCGTCAGGGCCTCACTCTGGACCTCCGTGGATGCCTGCTGGGGTCTGTCGGGGCCTCTTGGGGGCTTCCTGGGGCCCTGTGGGGGGCGTTGCGGGGACGTCTCTCGGAGCCTGGCCGCGGGGCATGCTGCCGTCATGCTTCTGGGCGGGCTGCTGGCCGTCCGGGAGACGTCTGGAGGCCGAAAGCCAGGTGGGCGAAGCTCGGGGAGGACACAGTTGCGTGACAGTTTTTTCAGTGTGGCTGTTGGCTCCGACGAGAGATGCCACAGAAGATTACTGACGGACCCCTTCAGCTTGAACAACAAAGTGTGCATATGTTTGGGGGCGCGAGATGGCCTCCAGGATACTGAAGAGCTGAGGACAGCCTAACTACAGCTTCCGTCTCAGTGCCCTGCCCCGAAGAGCGGAGGCCGCCCTTTGAAAACTACGAAGAGCGCACCAGCTAGCTCTTCAGAGGGCGAAGGGGCTCGTTCCACTCCGAAGCCCCCCCATGTGCGCCCTCCCTCTCCAGCCACTCGCTCGTCGTCCCTCCCCCTCCCCTCCATCATCCATTTCCCCCTCCTCTCCCCGCCTGGGGGGCAGGGAGGGTCAGACTCGCTTCAGGGATGCGGCGCTGCAGCCGGCAGCCCCCACGCTCCCCCTTTCCGACCTTCCAGATTGGATCGGCCGTCGTTTCCGAGCTTGGGTCTCCAGGCGCTCCTTTTGGGGCACGCAGGGCCTACAAACACTTGTTTCGTCGGCGGCGAGGCAGAGTTGGCTGCACCAGCGCTAGAGCTTAGACGTGGGCACCGAAAAGCGAATTGACCAGCGTGCAGGAGCGGGACGAGGGCAGAGACGACGCAGGGCCTGCAGGCACAAGCACACGCCGCGACGTTCATGTTGCGCGAGGTAGCCTAGGAGTTGGCACCTCTTCCTCGGCGGAACGCGGCAGAAGGGCGGCGGAAGGCGGCGGGTGCGAGACGGTGGCGGCTCCGCCGACGGAAGATGGCGGACGGCCGGTGGAAGCCGGCGGAAGTAAACTATGCATCTCCCAGAGGTGGCAGGGCTTAGGCCCCCCGATCTTCCCGCGCGTCCCTGTCCAGGGCCCCCCGTCTGAAATACAGTATTTTAGATGCGCCGAACTCGGTAGGTTTCATTTGGCCCCTCACGAAGCGTCCGATTGAGCGTGCTTGGGCGCAGTGCTGTGAAAAAAAGGAAGTAAATTATGCATCTCCCAGAGGTGGCAGGGCTTTGGGGGTCAGGGGTTCCAGAGTCGGCCATGTGAGAGATGGCCTCGGGAGGTTCAGATCCACAGGTGTTGAAGGAACCATGGCATCGGAGGCCAGGGCCTCGAAATCATCCAGCGAGCGGGCGATGCTGTCGGCCACTTTTCTGGGGAACGTTGCAACGTCGGAGCCTCCCTCGACTCCAGGATAGTCGTGCGAGAGACGGCCCGAGAGGGCTTGGTATCTTCTATGGCGGGAGGAGACGCAGGGGGAGCTGGCCCCGGAGGCGCTTCACGGTGCACCCACAGCGGAAGCCGAAGCCGAAGTTGAGGGCACAGGTCTGTGCCGGAGGAGAGGCAGGGTGCAGAGGAGGAGGGGGAGGCAGAGCCGCCTGGCACCAGACGGCCTGGGTCGTCCAGGGCCCCAGTGCCCGCATCACGAGGGCCTGCGCCCGGAGCGGATCTTAGCGGACCGGGGGCGCGGGCGTCGAGCGGAGGCATAGAAAGGTCGAGGTCAGCACGGGGAGGGTACCCTCACGTTCTTCGTGCTTGCTGGATGTCTTTGGCATCGCTCGGACGTGTGCCTTTTTTCCTCGGTGGGGACCATCGAGGAGCATCCTTGATCAGTCGGCGAAAAACCCACGCACGAAACCGAAAGAAGCACAGAGGATGGACGTCTGAGCGATGGCGAGACGGTCCGTCCTGGTGGAGGGCACCCTCGAACGTTCTCCAGGTTGGGCCGGCGGAGGGCCCCACGTCTCTGAAGGATGCTATGCTGCCCCAGGTCCGACCGTACGGCGGCAACGGTGGCCGCTCACGCAGCCGAAACCAGCCAGAATGCGAGGGCCAGCAGACCACCCCAAGTGGCCACAGCGCGTCCAGGGGATCCCCGAGGGATCAAGACCTGTTCACATATGGTGTCTTGTGGGTGTTATGCGCGCCTCTGGTGGTCCTCCGACGACTCAGGATAGTTCCAAGATCGTCTCAGAGAGCCACAGGAAGGAGCATTGGGTTTGGGTCGATGACCTGGCATTCGTCGATGGGGGCGCTCGCATTCTCCTCATCCGGTCCTCCCACACCTGCGGGATGGGAAGTACCTCTCTAAGGGCTCAACATCATTGAACTTGTCATTCTGTCGAGTCCAAGTGAATACCAGCATTCGTAAAAAATTGTATTGCCCTCTGCAAGATTCACCTCAAAGAGCACGGGACAACTCACTCGTAGATTCGACTTTCTGGGTATGGATGTCATTGCGTGCGCAGGACTTTTTTGGGCACCCCCTCTCCCATAGTGGTCATGGTGGGACTTCGGAGCTGCGCTGGCCAGACCACGTTTCGCTCTGCTTCGACACCGACGGGGGCGGCATTGAGGGGGCGAAACGGGGCGACACTGCAGGGGTGCGTCAACAGCTTCGAGGCTAATTTAGTCGAGGGTCGTAGGTTCGTAGTCGATGCGGTGTCACGGGCTTCCTTGCGTAAGGCCGCAGCCGGGATGAGAATGGCGGTAAAGGTCGATACCCAATTTGGCACGGAGCGTTTTGTCACAGGCGCGAGAAGGACGCCCCGTGGCTAGACGAACAAGGTATGGAGCACACATGTGCGTGAAATGCACGTTTGCGCGTTCCTGTCGCGTAGAGATGCGGACTGCAGATGGCTGATGGGCAGGATTGAGCTTTGTCCGAAAGGCGCGGTCTCTTCCTATGTCACCGTCATGAGCTGATTATGCTTCTACCTTGTCTCATGCCGTGAAGAATGCTGGCTGTGTACACACGGTTGCTCACAAGTGACAGGGCGTACAGCGTTCGATAGATTGTGCAGCTCGCTTGTTCTGAGTTTGTGACCAGATGGCCTTCCGATTCTCATCGCCTTCAGGTCGGTGTTCCTGCTACAATCGCGTGTCATTGCTGTATTGCGTGATGATGTTGCTAGTGCGTTTCGACTGGTATTGTTTGTTTCATCGATACGATCGCCAATTGTTACTATCTTTTTCGAGAGAAGCTTGTAGTCTGCAATGTGCTTTCCGATGGCCTGGTTGCTCACTCACTGACTCGCCAGGGCCGCTGGTTGCTTGTTCAATGTGTCAGTTTGGACAGGGGTCATGGTAATTCGGTGGCCGCTGAATTTCGGTGGCAACTGTATCCGTGGGTGGGGCATGGTGTTGGTAGTTTATTTGCCGCTGGGGATGGTCACTTCCCGATCAAATTTGAATGCATGGTTGGAGGGGTAGTTTTAGCCAGTTGGTGGATACGACAAGTTCAGCAAGGGTGTGGGATGATACGGTAATGGCATTCTTGAGCCGAGGAGTTATGATGTTTGGAATGTGTCTCCCTCAGGTGAACGGTGTAACCCATTTCAGCAGGGGGGGATGACTGCTTCATCCAAATATTTTAGCAGAGGAGTGAGGATACGTGGGTGGTAGTTGTGTCCGAGGGCGGAGGATGTGGTTGTTTCTGCCTGGGGCTCAGCGTATGCTGGTGGTGTCTGCTCTTAAGTTGTGGGGATGGGGGGATTATTGGCTGGCAGTTGTTGTTATACTCGGCGTGATCGGCGGGGGTCTCATCCGTGTGTGTGGTTGCGGGGTGGGGGCAGCTATATCAGGCGATCGCAAACATGGATTAAGGGGGCGTGGATTGGCGACGGGTCCCGCTTCCATGGGAGACCGTGGATGTCCGCCGCCGGGCGAGGCGGAAGTGGCCGCAGATTGGGGAGGGCACCTCCCCCTATCCATGGAATGATTTGGCGACCGCGCGCCAAATCCATGGATCGCTAATCCATGTCTGCGCGCCCCCGACGTTAGCGGGGGCGTGGAGGGCACGCCGTCGTTTCGCCTGGCCGTGGCCCCGCGGCCCTCGCATCGCGCATCCGTGCGGGGCGAGAGCTCCGTCGTCCCTCGCCCCATCCCTCTGCCATCTCCCCCTTCCGCGTCTTCGGGCGCTCCTGCGCTCTGCTGGGTAAAAGTTCACCACGAACCACAACAACAGCAGCAACAACCACAACAACCACAACAACATGAACAACAACAACAACAACAACAACAACCACAACAACAACAACATTAACAACAACAACAACAACAACAACAACAATTACTAGCACGTGGGGACACACCGTTCTCACCAGTGCCAGGGTTTTTATAGGAGGCGGGCAATCCCCCCACTTTGTGGGGGGGCCGGTTCAAGCTCCACCAAATTTCCAAACGACTCTTCGCCACCACCCACACCCAGCTTCCCGCCCTATGACGTTCGGACACTTCACTTCGTGGCATGCGGACGACCGTGGCTACTATTCAGGGCCCCGCGGCCGACGACGACGGCGTGCGCGCGCGAAGAAAAAACGAATGTGTCCCGCATGGTATTATTTGACAGGGATGATGGCCCTGGCAGGTGCGCAACCGTTGTTGCAGAAGTTCGAAAAAGTGGCTCGCAAAAGCCCGTTTGACAGAAATGATTAAAAAGTGTTGGGTTTCCTACGAATCCGCAAGAGCGCGCGGGATGAAATTTTGACATTTTTTTTTGAAAAACCATTGGTTTTTGATGTTTTTATGTTAAAATCGCTACGAAAACTAAGGTTTTGGAAGGGTTTCGTCTTGCGCGCGCGAATGTCCACTTTACCATTTTTTCGGCAAGGGATTCTTGAAGTTTGGTTATGTTAGAACAAGAAATGTCCACTTTAGCTTTTTTTTTGCAAGGGAAAACCGATCGTAACAACGCAACCGGATCTGGTACACATCGTTTTGCCTGAGACTTCCTCACGAAAATTATGAAAATGAGGCTGCGGCCTAGGCGCGGCGAGGGGGCCATGCACCAGGGGCCCCAACAATAATTATTCTTTAGAAGTAATAATGTTCAACAACAACAACAACAACAACAACAACCACGACAACGACAACGACAACGACAACGACAACGACAACGACAACGACAACGACAACAGCAACAACAACAATAACCACAGCAACAACAACACGACAGCAACAACACCAACACCAACCACCGCCACTAACCACCAACCACAGCAACAACCACAACAGCATTATCAGCAGCATCAGCACTAATAACGCTTAACGCTTAGCGTATCCCCACCAGCCCATCCAGCGACGACGCCCAGGCGAGTTGCCCTGATCACCGAAGTAGGGTAGCAGACAAGTGGGGAGTCCTTGGCGCTCCTTTGGCGCCCTGTGGGGCACTTTTGAGAGTTTTTGACGCGCTCTTGGAGAAATATTGGACGAGATCGCTAAACAAAGGGCGAGTACCTAACTAACGTTGCCCTTCTTGAGTGCTCAAAGTCGCCGTTCCAAGTCCAGGGGAGGGGGTAATGGGGGAGGGGTGAACCCCACTCCGAAGTGGAAGAGGGAGGGCTGGAGGGGTTTAGTGAGGAGGGGTCCTCGATGTCGCCCCCCCCCCCTCAGGAGACCTCAAAATCGTTTCTTGGAACCATCTTCGGGCTCTTTGGGGGATCTTTGGGCCCTCTTGGGGCCGTCTTGGGACCCTCTTCGGGTCCCTCTTGGAGACCAGTTGGGGCTCTCGTGGGGCTCTGTTGGGAGCCTGGAGCGCCTCTTGGGGCCATCTTCGAGGCTATCGATCAAAAGAGGGGAGGTCCCGATCTAGGCCCCCCCCTGGGGCCCTCAAAATCGCCTCTTGGAGCCCTCTTGGGGCGCTCTTGGAGCGATCTTGGGCGCTCTCGGGGCCGTCTTGGGGGTCTCCTGGGGCCATCTTGAGGCTTTTTTGATGCCTCAAACGCGCATCGGATGAGAAACGGCGAGAAGGTAAAAATCATAAGTTGTCCTTAGATTGTTGAATGATTTTAGGGTCTTGGAGGGGTCCCGAGGGGTCTCCAAGAGCACCTGAAACCGTCTTGTGGCTTTCTCGGGGCTTCTTGGCATGTCGGAAGCTGTCTTGAGCCATCTTCGGCTGTCTCGAGCCATCTTGGAGGCCATCTTGGAGCACTGGAGGCCTTCTTGGAGCCATCTTGAGCGACAACGGACCCCCTGACACCTCGCGACCGCCGCCAAAAAAGCCCAGGGAGGGTGGGGGCTTTCTTTGGGAGAGGAAAGAAAGATCTCGTTAGACCACCTACGCCCAGAGGGCTGGTGGGATTTGAAAAACTGGTCGCTCTGACTTGGTCTATCCCAAACCCTCGGGGGGGCTAGGAGCAGAAAACACATGGCAGAACCGGACGGACAGATCGGGCGGCAGACACTAGCGGGCGGGTCGGGAAGGCGGGCCTCAGGCAGCCAGGTCGAGCAGGCGGGATGCTGACGCGTGAGTCTGAAATCGTGAGAAGGGCCAAAGCGAGAGCGTGATTCCTGAGTGTCGAGGGCGCGGCGTCTGAATAAATTGCGAGGACGTCCCACGCGAGAGCGCGATTCCTGTGTAAACTGTAAAGAAGTCCCGCGAGAGCGGGATTCCTGTACAAATGGTGAGGACACCCCGAAGGGGTTACGATCGAAGACAGAGAAGGCGGGTACCGAGGGTTTGGGGGTATTCGTGTTGAATGGCACCCAAGCAGATAAGAGCGAACAGTCTTGAAATGATAGGAGATGTTGTGGTTGAACTCTCTCTCTCTCTCTCTCTCTCTCTTTTTCTCTCTCTCTCTCTCTCTATATATATATACATATATATATATATATAGATCTTTCTCTCTCTGTCTCAATCTTGAAGGTCAATTATTGTTGATCCCCCCATCACCAGTGCACATTGTGTTTTTCACTTGAAGTGCCTTCCTCGGGGCTCGCACCTTGCTTTCATCACGGAAGCTCTTCTTCCTGAAATTGCGTTGATGGGCTTCGAACTAAAGCAACAACGACTCCCGCTTATATATCTCCTCGCAAGTTATTCAAAAATCGAGCTCTCGCGCGGGATTTTCTCGCAATGTATGCAGGAATCGCGCTCTCGCGTGGGACCTCCTCGCAATTGATTCAAACGCCGCGCCCTCGACAATCAGGAATCACACTCTCGCCCTGGCTTTTCTCACGATTGACTTGGGAATCTCGCTATTGCCCGAGACTCCCTTGCGATGCAAGGAAGACTCACGCTTCAGCAACCCGCCCTCTCGGCCTGGCCGCCTGAGCCCGCCTTCCGGACCCGTCGCCAGGGTCTGCCCGCCCGATTTGCCCGTCTAGTTTTGCCACGTGGTTTCTGCTCCTCGCCCCCCTTTGCTAATTTCTCTCGTGCGCCATCCTTCCCCTCCCCCTTCCATCCGCCCTCTCTTCCCTTTTTGTTTAGGGGCTGCGCTAAATGCATGTGGCAGGTAAGGACGATAGTTAGACCCCCTAGGGGTCCACGATCGAGAACGAAGAGGGCGGGCACCAAGGGTTTGGAATATACGTGTTTGGTGGCACGCGAGCAGGTGACAGCGCACAGTCTTGAAAGGATTGCTGCTGTTGATGGTGATCTTGTTGCTGGTGGTGTTGGTGTTGCTGCTACTGTTGTAAACACCAGTGGCCAGGAGCACAGTCTGATGCCCAAGGCCTTCCCGTCGAAGAAACAAGATGCAATACCCCCGGGAGGGGCACTTCGATTGAAAACTTGCCAGGGGCTTCAGAGGGGGTAGGTAGCCTCAGTTATCCTCTAGACATGAAAAGTCACCCATCAGCATAAGGGAACAAAAGGAACGAGCAACAGACAGAACACGCGCGCCCAGAGGACTTGGCATCGCTCGGACGTGTGCACTTTTCCTTCGGCGAGGACCATCGAGGAGCATCCCTGATCATCTGGCGGAAAAAAAAGAAAAAAAAAACAAAAAAAAAAAAAAAAAAAAAAAAAAAAAAAAAAAAAAAAAAAAAAAAAAAAAAAAAAAAAAAAAACGCACGGAACCGGAAAACAAAAAAAACAAAAAAAAAAAAAAAAAGGAAATGGACGCCCGAGCGATGGCCAGAGGAGGAGGAGCTGGAGCAGAAGGGGCAGGAGGAGGCCGAGGAGTGTCTTCCTTGGGTCCTGTGCGCCCCGCCGCGCTGCCCGTCGCCCCTCTCGCGACTTGGGCTCCACAGTCCCAGCCACGTTGTTGGTGGGCATGCTCGCGCCTCCTCCTCCTCCTCCTCCTCCTCCTCCTCCTCCTTTCCTCCTCCTCCTTTCCTCCTCCTCCTCCTCCTCCTCCTCCTCCTCCCCTCCTCCTCCTCCTCCTCCTCCTCCTCCCTCCTCCTCCTCCTCCTCTCCTCCTCCTCCTCCTCCTCCTCCTCCTCCTCCCCCTCCTCTTCCTCCCCCGCGTTCCTCCTCCTCCTCCTCCTCCTCCTCCTCCTCCTCCTCCTCCTTGACGCGGTGGGGGCGTTCGTTGAGGAACGTGCCCAGGAGGCTTCAGACCCTGGAGGGCTCCTCGTCTCATGAGGGCGGCAGTGAGATCTTCGGCTAGTCCACGATCGGCCCTCCACTGTTTTCCAGACCCTGGACCCCTCATCGAAGGCTCCCTTTGTGGACCCCGGCCGGCGCGCGGTGCGGAGATAAATCGCGTCCTCGGGGACTGGGGCGCCGCTCGCGCGCCGTGAAAGCACGGCTCGGGGCGCGCGCCTCTCGAATTCTGTGCATGGGCACGGGCCTCGGCCCTCGAAGTGGGAGGAACACATGCCCCCCCCGCAGGCCGGAGGAGCAGAGGGAGGCAGGAGGAGAAAGAGCACAACGACGACGTCAACCCCTCCGCCCCTCGAGTTCTGTGCACGGGCACGGGCCTCGGCCATCGAGGTGAAAGAAAAGATGCCCCTCCCCGTGGGCTGGAGGAGCAGAGGGAGGCAGGAGGAGAGAGAGAGGGAAGCAGAGGGAGCAGGAGCAGAGGGAGGCAGGAGGAGAGGGGAGCAGAGGGAGAAAAAATGCCCCCCCCCCCCCCCGTGGGCTGGAGGAGCAGAGGGAGGCAGGAGGAGAAGGAGCACAGGGAAGGCAGAGGCGAGCACGAGGAAGCAGAGGGAGAGCAGAGCGGCAGGGAAGCAGAGGGAAGCAGGAGCAGAGGGAAACATGCCCCTTCCCCCGTGGGCTGGAGGAGGAGGAGGAGGAGGAGGAGGAGGAGGAGGAGGAACGCGGGGGAGGAAGAGGAGGGGGAGGAGGAGGAGGAGGAGGAGGAGAAGGAGGAGGAGGAGGAGGAGAAGAGGAGTAGAGAGGAGGAGGAGGAGGAGGAGGAGGAGGAGGAGGAGGAGGAGGAGGAGGGGGAGGGGGAGGCAGGCGGAGAGAGAGAGCACGACGACGGCGTCGGCCCCTCCCCCCCGACGGCGCCCCGCGGCCGAGGCGCCCAGGTCCGCGTCACGGAGGAGAACAAGGGGCACTACGTGGACCTCCTGGTGGACAGCCGCGTCAGGGGCTCCGTGCACGCCGAGGTTGCCACGGCCGCCTCGAAGGGGGGGAAGGTAATCGTCGTCGTCGTCGTCGTCGTCGTCGCCGTCGTCGTCGTCGTCGTCGTCGTCGTCGCCTTCTTTCTCGTCGTCGTCGTCGTCGTCGTCGTCGTCGTCGTCGTCGTCGTCGTCGTCGTCGTCGTCGTCGTCGTCGTATGCGTCTTCGTCGTCGTCGTCGTCGTCGTCGTCTGCGTCGCTGTCGGGGCCGGAGGAGGAGGGGAGGAGGAGGAGGCGAAGGGAGGATGGGAAAGGGGTGTTCTGAGAACAGATCGGAGGCTTCTCGGCAGGCAGGAGGTCCTCTGAGAAGCCTGTTGGCCTTTTCAGAAGGCCACGCGCCTCCCTCGCCGCCAACTCTGCGTGGGTTCCCGTGCCCTTCTCGGGGCGGAGTCGGACTAGCGTCGCTCGTTCGCTCTTCCTGCTGCTTCGCGCTCACCCAGTACAGTCGGGGCCCTGAAGAAGGAACCCTTTTCGTTGGGAAAGGGGCTCCGCGTTCCTTAAGTGTTTCACAGCTTGCCTCAGGTTTTGCTTATGTCTTCGACAGGGAATCGAAGGTTAACTTATGGAAGAAAGGGGCCTCGTTCCTTATTTAGGGTTCCTTAGGTCAACGCCCCGACTGCACTGCAAAGACGTCAGCGTTCGGCCCATGTCGGGCTCTGGAGCAGCTCTGGGAACCTCTTCGCGGCCACAGCTGGCCGTGGCCAGAAGCGGCTGCCCTTCTTCGCGGGAAGGCAACCATCGGGCTGGGAGGATGGGGCTGGGAGAAGTCAGGGTATCCATATCCGGAGGCGGCCGAAGGCATCCTTCAGTGCAGCCAGATGTTGCTGCTCCTTCCCTTCGTCCTCCCACCTCCTCCCTCTCCCAGCACGATGACCGTTCTCCGCATTCTGCAGTTGCCCCGTCGGTGGCCCGGCGGCTGCGTCTGGAACGCTCCTCGGGGGCGGAAAAGAGGGGGGTGATGACTAGGGGGGGGTGGATGTCCTGGCGTGGGCCATGATATTCCCCCAGAGATCATGGCGCCTCTTCCTATTCCATTACGTTCCTGGCCCCCCCGCTGGGCCGCGCACATGCCGCCAGTCATGATTTGCACCCCCCCCTCTTGGACCCCCTCCCCCTTGGCCGCTCCCGACGCCCCGGGGCAGCCCCCATCCCCCATTGGCGCTCGAGCGCGGGTCCGGCCGCTGGGGCCCGACGTGGCCCCCCACCGGGGGGGAGAGCGCAGGGTCCGCGGCCGCCGTCGCTGTCCTCGTCCTCCCGGTCCTCCCCCCCCCCCTCCTTTGCTCTCCTCCCCGCTGCTCCTCCCTGCGCCCCTTGGGTGCTCCTGGCTCCGCCCCCGCCCCCTCCCGCTCCTCGGTCCTGGGTCCCCCTCCCTGCCTTTCCTGGGTCCTTCCTGCTTCTCCTTGATCCCCTTCGTCCCGTTCCTCCTCCTCCTCCTCCTTCTCCTCCTCCTTCGCCTCCTCCTCCTCCTCCTCCTCGTCCTCCTCCTTCTCCTCCTCCTCCTCCTCCTCCTCCTCCTCCTCCTCCTCCTCCTCCTCCTCCTCCTCCTCCTCCTCCTCCTCCTCCTCCTCCTCCTCTCTCGACGGGCAGTTTGCCAGCGCGCTCTCACGATGCCATGGGGCCTCGGAGAGAGGAAGAGAAAATGGACAAGGAGGAGTTCAAGAATAAGGGACGAGGAGGAGAAGGTGGAGAGGGTGGTAGAGGAGGAGGAGGAGGAGGAGGAGGAGGAGGAGGAGGAGGAGGAGAAGCAGAAGGAGGAGGAGGAGGAGGAGAAGGGAAAGATGACGACTATATATTGGAGAGGTAGGAGGAGAGGGAGAAGCGAGAAGGAAAACACACGAGACTGAGGACAAGCAGACGGGAGAGGCAGGAGAGGAACAGGAAGGTGAAGGAGAAGGAGGAGGAGCAGCAGCAGCAGAAGAGGAGGAGGAGGAGGAAGGAGGAGGAGGAGGAGGAGGAGGAGGAGGAGGAGGAGGAAGAGGAGCAGCAGCAGCAGAAGAGGAGGAGGAGGAGGAGGAGGGAGATGAGGAGTGGGACAAAAAAGAACACCCGACAAGCGGGGGAGGAGGGAGATGAGGAGTGGGGGAGATGAGGAGTGGGGGATGGGGAGGAGGAGGAGGAGGAGGAGGAGGAGGAGGAGGAGGAGGACGCAGGACGCAGGACGCAGGACGCAGGACGCAGGACGCAGCATAATACGAGGAACTGTCTGACAGGACCCCGCTCGCTCATACGGATCCGCCAGCCCCCGAGTGGGGAGGCGGGTCGGAGGTGGCGCGAGCCCCTTTAGTGGCCGCGCAGGCGCTCCGCCCGTCGCCGCAGCCGCCACCATCGCCGGAAGGCCGCGCGGGGAGCGCCGTCGGCCGAGCAGTCGTCCTCCCGGGGCGCAGGCGGGGCAGCAGGCGCCCTCGCCCTGCGAGCCCCCCCGCCGCGGCCGCCGCCGCCGCCCCGTCCGCCGCCGCCTCCGCCGCCACGGCGCTGGGAGGTGCCGTGGGCTCGACCAGCGCGCCCGCCGCCACGGCGCTTCCTAGCGCGACGCCGCCTCCGCCGTGGCCGAGGGCCATCGGGCGGCGCCGCGGCCGCGGGAGCGCCAGGCAGCCTTGCGCCTCCACCAGCACCATCAGCACGAAAAGGCGTCCACACGCGGGCGCTGAGACTGGGCAGCCTGCAGCACCGCCACTGCCGCGCGGCAGATGCCCTCCGCCGAGCGCGGCAAGCGGCAGGCCGCCGCTGCGTTGCACGAAAGGCCAGCTGCCGAGTGCGTCGCCAGGACCGCTCCGCGAGTAGCCGCCAGCGCCACCTGAAGGAGCTTCCGTTCCTGCACCACCGCCATCGGAGCCCGCGGCGAGCACGGCGGAGGCGCGCGCCCAGCGACTCGGGAACGATGCGAAACGATGCGAAACGGCTAGGAGGAGGAGGACGAGGAGGAGGAGGAGGAGGAGGAGGAGGAGCAGCAGGCGGAGGAGGAGGAGAGAATGAGAAGGAGGAGGAGGAGGAGGAGGAGGAGGAGGAGGAGAAAAGGAGGAGAATGAGGAGCATAGCAAACCCAGGATGCAACATCGATGCTTTCACACACCCTCCATTCTGAAATTCCCTATTCACTTGCCCCCTCAACAATGCTTTTCACTATTAGAGGCGCCCCTTTGAAAGACGAGCACCTCGCGGGCCTACCGTTCAGGCGAGAGCCTCGCTGTCAAAAGGTTACGCCTTGCATCTGCCTAGCAGAGTTTCAGTCATGCGACCATGTACGAGCGGAAAGATAGACGGGTTGCCCAGCGATAGTGCAGGCAGCTTTGAAAAGTAACCATCCCCATCCGTGTGACAGTTGCAGAAAAAGTCAGCGACACTCCTGGCCATTACATGTGACGAAGATTCACACGAGACCCCCATGTGTAAGAAGGAACCGCACTACAACCATACACATGCCACACACGCCAAAGTGTAGCTAGATGGTAGGAAGGGAGAGCCCCATGTTGAAAGGGAATTGTTTTTCCTCCTTGACAGTTGCAGCAGCATGTTGACACGAGTGTCCGCGACACCATTGCGAGCGCCCAATGTGGAAGACCAGCTGCCCCCTCCCACTGTAAGTGCTACATGTGCTTGAGACGAGTGCACGCGGCGGTATGGCGAGAGCCAGCTCTTGAGGAGGCACCAGCTTTCATCCTTACAGCTGTTGTAGGAAGCGTTTCGTTAAGTCGATCGTGCGAGGCGCTGGGGCGAGAGCCCCGCTTCTGAAGAGGAACCGCGGGGCATGTTGCGAACATCTGGGGCGAATGTCTTCGCGGCAGGAGGCGTGAGCCTGCAGTTTGAAAGGGTACCGGCCCCCATCCGTGCAATCGCTGTGCAATGTCATGTTGGCGGTTGTATGGTCGGTTGAGTCTCAGGCGAGAGCCCGATTTGGGAAACGTGTTGGCCCCCATCCGAGCAACTGCTGCGCGTGGTTCAGACGCACGCCGCGCTGAGTCGGGAGCCCTATTTTGAAAAGGAGCCGCCCTTCATCCATGGAGTTGCTGCAAACTTCAAGGCAAAATGCGTGCGGCGCTGAGGAGAGAGCCCCATTTTGAAAATGACCCCGCGTCCATCCGTGTAGTTGTGAGGAATTACAAGCTTGGGGATTAAAGTACCCCAGCGGAGGACCCAACCATATGCAGTCGTGAGTATCGAAGTTGTGAAATCTTCTTCGGTGGAGCTCCCTATGGGGCCACGAAGCGCTGCATTGTGCGGGGGGAAACGCATGCGGGCGGTAGCACTGGGGCCGTCAGTGGAGCTCCCTATGGGGCCACGAAGCGGTGTATTGGGTGGGGGCGACGCATGCGGGCCCCCATTGGAGCCGTCGGTGGAGCTCCCTATGGAGCCACGAAACATTGTACTGGGTGGGAGGGACGCATGCGGGCGGTATCACTGGAACCTTCGGTGAGAGGGGCGCATGCGAGTACCCCCACTGGGGCCTTCGGTAAAACTCCCCATGGGGCCACGGAGCGCTGTGATGGGTGTGGCGGGCGCATGCGGGCATCCCCACTGGGGCCTTCGGTGGAGCTCCCCATGGGGGGCACGCGTGCGCCCTCAGTGGAGCCGTCGGTGGAGCTCTATGGGGCCACGGAACGCTGTGCTGGGTGGCGGGGGACGCATGAGGGCACCCCGGTTGGGGCCTTCGGTGGAGCTCCTTCACTATGGGGCCACGAATCGGTGTATTGGGTGGGGGGACGCATGGGGGCCCCCGTTGAGGCCCTCGGTGGAGCTCCCCATGGGGCCACGAAACGTTGTATTGTGTGGGGGTGGACGCATGCGGGCACCCCCCCCTGGGGCATCCGGTGGAGCTCCCTATGGGGCCACGAAACGTGTGAGGGGTGTGCTGAAACGGTTGATGACGACGGTGA